GGGTTTTTGGCCCCAAAAAAAAAAGGGGGGGGGGTTTTTTTTCTTTCCCCCCGTTTTTTTTTTTGGGCCCATTTTTCCCCCTCCCCCGTTGGGGTTGGAGGGGGGGGGGGGGTTTTTTTTTTCCCCCGTTTTTCCCCCCCTTTCCTTTTGGGGGGGCCCCCCCCCCCCCCCCCCCCCTACCCCCCCCTCTCTCTTACATCTCGCATCTTGGTGGGGTTGTGCTTCTTGTAGAACTTGGTGAGGCGTGTTCGCGGGTCGTCCGCCAGCCCGATCTTAATCCCCCAGTCGCTGTTCGCCACGTAATCGACCACGAAGATCAGCCCCGTCAGCACCACCGGGCCGAACATGACGAACATCAGAATCAGCGGGAGTATCTGCCGCCGACAACAACACCACGGTTGAAGAAAATGGCAGTGTCCGTCGAGACGTCACGGAGACATGATCGCAGGGGGAAAGCAGTGTTGTTCCGCACAAGAAACGGGTAGCACATGACCTCAAGAGGCCGTTCGAAGGATACGCTACGAGATGGGCACTTTTGGACGTAGAGGTAAACACAAGTTCACGGCACGACGTAGAGGTAGACATGGGCTATAAGGGCTTCCAGCAGGCTGATTCTTTCGGATTGGTCATGTGTGTGATGCTGACTCGCCCTCATCGGCGCCGTGGCCGGTGCATGATCGTTGAGCTCGTGTGCCTTTCGAAAGGGGAAGGTCAAGGAAGGGCCGACAATGCACCGCTGCAAATAGTGAGCCGTAAGGCTTGCTGAAATCGAAAGGACTGCCCAAGCCCACGGTACCGAACGAGACTACTGATGTAGTCTACACAGCATCTCCGGGACGCTTACGGGCAGGAATACCGACGGATCGTTCGAACACCGAACAGCAACAGCGGCTCATATTCTTGAACCGAGTGTTTGTATCGATACTACGCTATACCCCTATTGCTGGAAAAAGGGTGGGGACCACGGTAGGGTGCATAAGACACCACACACACCCTGGACCGATTTTCAAAGCTCAACTTACTTCACGACGAGGTTGGCACCATCAAACGAAAGCGCTGCTGTGTGCATGCTACGCTAATACGTTCCGAAAAGCTCTCGACCGGACGGTTCCGCCGCCACCATTCTCGGCACCGTCACCGCCGTTTTTGCTGCACAGCCTCGTTGTGCATGTACGGATAATCGGCCTAGATGTCTAGATATTGCACGCGTTCCTACTTAGTCTACGGGTGAGGTGTGCGTAATGAATGGTGCGTCGTTTTCCTCATCTCCGGCTTCGGTGCTGGAGAGCCAGAGAGCGGCGCAACCACACACATGCTCATCACGCCGTTCCAATAAGTGCCAGAGTACTGCTGTAAAGTTTTCTACAACTTGCTTCAGAGCGAGGGCGTGGGCAAAACGTCACGGTTTCGGTTGGCCTCCCTCGAAAGGTCAGAGCTGTCACGGGTCGTATGTTTTAATCGAAATTGCTGGGGACATCGGCAGCAGCAGCCGCAATCATACACTGCATGAATGCTCACATGCCAAACCTCACCTTGATCCCCTCTTTTTTCGGCCGTCTCATCTTGGCTTGCGGGTCGTCGTCATCGCCCTCTCGCTTCAGCCCCTGCAGTTTCCCCAGCCTCGGCCCACTAGTCGACATGGCACGCTCGCCTTCCTCTCTAGAACAACAAGAGACGCGTGTGTGTGTGCGGCAGCCTGCTGGCGCCGCGCGCGCGAAGCGCAGCGGCGCCGAACAAAGGCGTTCCACACCGTGATGCGTTTTCGCGAACTGTCGCTTGAACCCTGTCGGTTTGAAGGATCACGCCGGCACACGTGTTTCGAGAGCGGGCACGAGAGAGAGAGAGGAGGGAAAGGGGCGTGAGCCTGACGTTGCTGGGCGTGCTTTGTTCCTCTTCGGCCACAGCGGCAGACGGGCAGCTGAGAAAGTCAGGCAGAAAGCCGGAGGAGTAGAGAGCATGAAGGGTGTCTTCTGGACGGTTTGCGCAGTCAGCGGCTTCGCGAGCGTCTCGCAGGCCTTCTTGCAGCCTTCGTCCATCATCGTCTCTTCCACAACTCGTGAGTGGCGTGTCGCGTTGTTGCCGAACGCGTGTCCCAACTCGAGCCAGCCTGTTGGACAAGCCAGTGTAGTAGCAACGCTATGTTGGTGGCGCAGCAGCAGCAGGTGCGGTATGCACAAAGCCACGACAGCGTGGTGTGTAGCAGGAGAGACAAACAGAACGTTTTTCAAGGCACACTCTCTGACCACGGGGACTCATTTTTGGCTGCTGTGCAGATGTTGGGAACTTTGCCCTCTTGTGCATGTTCACGTGAGGGTTTTCTTTGAGCCTAGCGGCGCACACAGCCGAGGAGATCGATGCGTTGACCTGTTCTGGAATTCTGTGGCGTTTTGCGTTTGTGTCGACGTACAGCAGTAGCGTGCTATTCGAGCGAGCTGACCGAGCATTACATACCAACACGTCCGTGTTTCGCGCAAGATCGGATTTTTTGTCAGTTATCGACACATGCAGATGATGTGGGTTGTGTACCTAGGTATTTAGTTGGACGTGTGAAGTAAGATCTATGGCAGGGAGGATTCGTGAATTGCATGGATCCGGTCGAGGTATGTAAACTCGTGTGTGAAATTATCATTTACTATCCTTGCATGCTACTGCGTAAAATTGCAATCTGGTGAACAAACACCCGAGCCTGCACTTGATCTGTCACCAAGCTAAATGCAGCTGTTCCGCTCCATCCAGCGTTCCCGCCTTTTCTACAACAAAGGCATGAGCATGGTACTGACTGCTGTACAGTGCATACCCCGTTTTGTAACTTGTAAGCAAAAGGGGAAAAGAAGCAGCAGCGACGTTAGGTAAAGGACTCACAATGAAACCAAAATTCTCGTGGTGCGGTATTTGCTGTCGCTCGCACGTGTCCCCTGGTACTGCGCGTGCATTGTGTACAACTCGTTTTCTCTCCGATAACTTCTACATTGCAGGTACTCGACACCATGGTACGTAATATTCGATACCAGTCCTTCAAAGAAAAGGACTCCCGCCCTCTTACATCAAGTATCGTATATCGTACCGGCAGCAACCTTCGTAGGTTGTTTGTTCCCGTACCGGTGCACACATGAATTTGAAATAGCATCTCATGCGAGACCGCAGAGACCGGCAATACTACTGCTGTAAGTCACAACAGCCGCTGGGGCCCCCGGCATATTATGGTGGCATGTGCCAGCAGGCCGTTCCCTCGCCCTACATGGAAAATGGCTTGAACAGCAGAAACAACGCGGAAGGACATCGCCGCATTTGCTACCAGCTCAGCCAGTCGTGCGGGTTCCCCCCTAACGTGTGATATAAACCTACATCTAAAGGGTAGGAATAGAAGGGGACTGCAATACATGCCGCAACATGGCTAGTGTAATCTTTGATGAGAGCCTCAGTCCACGTCATGGACTACCCCACGTTCCAAGAGTACTCATCGGTTGGCTCGCGGCATGTCGTATGCATGCGCTCGTCTCATGATGTCGGAGAAGAGCTTCTGTGCACAGAAAGGCTAAGACTCATTGCGATGCCTTCCTGCCAGAACCTGCTGCCACTGCTGTCTCTTTGCTGGTGATTCCTGGGAAGTACCGAACACTACTGTGCGAAGAACGCCTCCCTACCAACGCTATGTTGAGTGAAAATCCCTTATATACATGCCCACAAAGGACGCCCTATGGAACAAGAAAAACAGGGGGCAAAGCTCGAAGGAAAAAAGTGAACGAAATACCAAAGGTTGACGCACGGGCAACCCTCTCTTCCCGTACGTCTATCTTTGGCTAACCCCGCCCTCGTTCCACCCACGTCCTCTTCTTGGGCCACGTCGTTTTACGGGATCGGATGGCAGATAACAGATGTCGTTGGTGCAGACCCCCCACCGTAGGTTGCATACGTAAGATACCACACCCCCTGCACCGATTTTCAAAACCTCTGTTGCTCCACGACGAAGACGATGCCGAAGTCCAATGGTATGTTTTCGGAAAGCTCTCGACGACGAGACGGTTCCAACGCCTCCCGCCATTTTCGGCACCGCCACTGCTTTTCCTGCCCAGAAATCAAGCTTTAGAAATCGGTCCGGGGTGTGTGGTATCTTACGTATGCAACCTACGGTATACGCGGCGTTATGTTCCTTTGCCGTGCGTGTCCCGGTACGTAGAGAGAGAGAGTTGCGTCAGGAGAGAAGCCAAGCGCGCCGAAAGCCCCTTCGGCTGCTGATGGAAATACTTTTACTTGGCCCCAACGTCAACCTGCCGGTCTGGCACTTGGAATCGTTTAGGGACAGCCGCAGCAATCTGGCTGGCGGTACCCCCCCACAACGAAGGGTCTCCGGGAATTCGAAAGCTGCACTAATTGTGGGGGGCGCCTACTGCACGTGATATACCCCGCACAATGCCGGGGATTCCCGTTGTGCG